TAGCAGCAGCAGCAGCAGCAGCAGCAGCAGTAGTAGTAGTAGTCGTAGTAGTAGTCGTAGTAGTAGTAGTAGTAGTAGTAGTAGTAGTAGTAGTAGTAGTAGCAGCAGCAGCAGCAGCAGCACTAGTAGTGGTGGTGGTGGTTGTAATAGTAGTAGTAGTAGTAGTAGTAGTAGTAGTAGTAGTAGTAGTAGTAGTAGTAGTAGTAGTAGTAGTAGTAGTAGTAGTAAGAATAGTAGAAGCAGCAGTAGTAGCAGTAGCATTGGCGGTATTATCATTCATCATGCTCCTTCTCCTCCTCATCCTCCTTGCTCTCCTCCTTCTCCTCCTCCTCCTCCTCCTCCTCCCTAGCATCCTCCTCTTTGCCGCGCCCGCAGAGGTCTACAGCACCTGCAGCATGTCGCCCGTGGAGAATGAGGCGGTGGTCGCCGAGATCCTTCGCCGCGCGGGCGGGGCACTGCAGCTCGTCGACGCGCGGGGGCCTCGGCGGTGCAGCTGCTGCCCGGGAGCAGCAGCAGGAGGAGGGGGCAGGAGGAGAAGGAGGAGGAGGAGTGGGGGAGGAGTAGGATTAGGAGTAGGAGTAGGAGTAGGAGTAGGAGTAGGAGTAGTAGTAGGAGGAGGAGGAGGAGGAGGAGGAGAAACAGGAGAAGGAACAGGAGGAGGAACAGGAGGAGGAGGAGGAGTAGGAGGAGGAGGAGGAGGAGGAGGAGGAGGAGGAGTAAGAGGAGTAAGAGGAGTAAGAGGAGTAGGAGGAGCTACGCACTTATGAGCATGGTAGCAGTGTAGACTACAAGAAGGACTGCAGCAACAAACGACTGGTTGGTTCCGGCTGGCCAGCTCGTCGTTGACCCAAACCTTACGCATCAGACCACGGGCGATTGCTTGTGACAACTCTGGTGCATTCCAGTATTGGGGAGGTGAGGAGGAGGAGGAAGAGGAGGAGGAGGAGCAGGAGGAAGAGGAGGAGGGGGGGAGGGAAGGAGGGGGAGGAGGATGGGGAGGGGAAGAAGGAGGATGGGGGCTGGGGAGGGAGGGAGGGAGGGAGGGAGAGGAACAAAGCGAGGGAGGGAGGGAGGGCGGGAGGGCAAGGAGGAAGGAAGCGAGGGAGCGAGGGAGCGAGGGAGTGAGGGAGTGAGGGAGTGAGGGAGTGAGGGAGGGAGGGAGGGAGGGAGGAGGATGAGGAGGAGGAGGAGGAGGAGGAGGAGGAGGAGAGGGAGGATGGGGGAGGATGGGGGAGCAGGAAGAGGGGGAAAAGGATGAGGGAGGAGGAGGAGGGAGCAGAGAAACCGCCGTGACCTCGCGCGATCTGCGCCAGTCACGACGACGTCGTCGTCGGTCTTCCCCTCTTGCTCATCCCCTTCTAGCGTTTCTCAGTATTGGTGCGCGCGAACCAAAAAAACGACCATCTACGCGAGCGACTACGCCCGAAGACGCGCCCAGAAAGTCCGCGCGGGCTGCTCTTTCGCTCTGACCACATCTCGGAGCGCGCAGAGACGAGCGCGAAGCCAGCGCGCGGCGCGCCGCGCCCCCCCCCCCCCCCCCCCCCACCCCCCGCCCCCCACTGTGCGAAGCTGGATGCAGGCGCGGACTGCGCCGCCCGGCCGGCGAGCCAGCGTTGCGCATCGAGGGGGGGGGTCAGACAGGGGTAAGTCCACGGCTGACGGTTTTGCTCTCGCAGTCTCGGTCGTTTTTTTTCGCACGCCCGGGTATGAGTATTTATGTTCTCTCTCCTTTGGTACTGTTTTTTTTTCGCTCCGCATATCCCGCATCATTTTCTTCAACGCAAGAACGTCCACACTTGATTTTGACTTGCCATTCCCCAAGTCAGACCGTTCTCTGCCCTTCAAAAGTTGTGCTCGGGCTGCAGCGCTGGCCGGAATTAGCGATTTTCATAAAGCTTCCCGCTTTCGCCGCGGCGCTGGCCGCACTCTTGCATCAGCAAGAGTGGTGCTTCAGCGGACGCGTTTGCCACGTGTCTGGGCTCCCCTGGACCTTCCGTCCAATGGAACGATGTTATCGCCGCAGCGCCGGCCGTACTGCTTGCATTGCGGTGGGGGCGTCGGTTAAGGAATGTGCCCAGGAGGCTTCAGACCCACGGGGGTTCCTTACCTTATGAGGGCGGCAGTGTGAACCGCGGCGAATGCGCGATTGGAGTTCCGCTGGCTTCCAGATCATGCATTTGTTATCCAATGGTTCCTTATGATCTGCCCCCACCGAAGCGAGCATGTAGCTCCGATTGCAGCGTGTGCCACATGTAGAGATTCTCTCAGAGAGCCTCCACCTCACGGACCGACGCGCTCTCGCCGTCGCACGGGCCGTACTTCTGCATCCGCAAACACATCGTCACTAGTTAGCTTTTGCTTTGCCTCGAGACAAAGTGACCTTTCGGACTCCATGCCTTTTTCGACGCTCGGCTCTGCGAGCGGAAAGGGGGCTCGACGCCGGGATAAGGGATTGGATGGAGGGCATGAGGTGTGATCTCAGATATGGCGCGAGCGCACCAATATTGTCCTTCTGCTCTCTCCCCTCTCCCCTCTCCTCCCTTCCTCCTCCTCCTCTTCCTCCTCATTCTCCTCCTGCCAATCGCCTGTCGCTTTCCAGCGGCGCCCATATCGTCCAAAGCTGCCGTTCGCGTCCCGAGTTTCCCTCCTCCCGCATCCCTCTTCCGGCAGCCGACAACGGCGGCAGCGACAACGTCGACGGCGGCGGCGGCGACAACATCGACGGCGGCGACAACGGCGGCAGCGGCTATGAAGACGTCGTCGACGGCGACGGCGGTGACTTCAGAGGCACATGCTTCGGAAACAGTTCAGCAACACTCACGTATAACATATGGTTTGAACTCCCCCCCTTCCCCCGGATGCAATGTTGGTGTCGGATCATCCGAGATTGAGTGTCCGAGTGGTAGTGCGTAACTATGCAAATTCTGAGTTGCGGGGAAGGGGTGGGGGGGCGTATAGTTCGCCGCGCCGTTTGTTCCGACGCTCGGCCTTCCGCCTTGGGGGGGGGCGCCGCGGCCACCAGGGCAAACTCCGCTTCGGACGCGGTGGGTTTGCCGTCGGGTTTGCTGCGGTGCTGGCTTCGTCTAGGGCCAGGGAAGCCCTGGGTTTGCCGCGGGGTCGGCGTCGTCCACTTGGGCGTGTCGAGAGCAAGCGGCGCGGCGATGTACTCGCTTCCCGCAGCCCCCGTGGGGGGACCCCCGGCCGGCGAGGCGGGGGCGCGTGGCGCCGCTGCGCACCTGCGAGGCGGGCGGCCCACCCCCGCCCTCTGCGGCGGCGGCGAGGGCGGCGTCGGAGACGGACGACGGTCGGCGCCCGCCGAGGGCGACCCACAGATGCCTCGACGGAGGAGGAGGAGGAGGAGGAGGAGGAGGAGGAGGAGGAGGAGGAGGAGGAGGAGCGAGGAGCGAGGAGCGAGGAGCGAGGAGCGAGGAGCGAGGAGCGAGGAGCGAGGAGCGAGGGGCAAGGACGAGCGAGGAGAAGCAAGGAGGCGGAAGGGGGATCGATGCGTGGTGGCGGAGGTGGGCGGAGGAGGGGGTGGAGAGGGGGCGGAGGTGGAGGAGGAGGAGGAGGAGGAGGAGGAGGTGGAGGAGGTGGAGGAGGTGGAGGAGGAGGAGATGGATGAGGGTGGAGGAGGAGCTGGCGGCGGGTGAGATCGACGAGTGGTGGTGGAGGATGGAGCAGGCGGGCTCAGAAGCCGGTCCCGGAGACGGGGTCGGGGGTCTGGGGTGGTGGCGGAGTTGGACGAGGATCGATTGGTCGTGGCCCTAGCGGAGGTGGAGGAGGATGCTGGCGGAGGAGGAGGTGGAGGAGGATGGACGAGGTGGGTGAGGTGGAGGCTTCTCCACTGAACTATGCTGATTAAGCCTTCCACCGGAAAACGGACACAGCACCATCAATTCAGAGTGTCACGAATGACCCGCTGGAGAAGCACAACGGTCTTTGTAATATGCGCGAATATCTCACACATAGAAACAAACTAATATGTTTGCCTGACTTGCCCTATGGGCCTCTGCCAGGCTCAGCTGGGTGCTCCTCGAGAAAGCGGTCGATCTCTGCGGCCGCCATGTCGGCTGGAACGCCTGCCGTCATCGCCCTGGCCATCGCCAGCTCTCGAAACCGATCCGGCCCCTTGGTCAGGATAGGCTCGCACGCCATAGCCACCACGGAGCTGGAGCCAAAGACGCCACACGCGCCAACTAGCTGCGATCAGCTGGGCGAACGGTGGCATCCTCGGCGTCGGCCTTCGGCTTCTTCGGGCTGCCGAACTTCTCCACCGCCAGGCTCCTCCCACAGGTAAGCCCTTGCTCTGGGCACTCCTGCGGGTCCGTGGCGGCCGGCGCGGCAGCCGTGGCATCTGTGCCTTGCAGCGCCTGGCAGCTGAAGACAGGGCGTCGCGTGGACATCAGCTGTCGGCAAACAAATGCGGGCCTCCTTCCGCGTGCCGCTCCTGGCTTTCGGGTTCCCCTCGCAGCTAGGAGTGAGCTCGGCAGAGGCCGGCTGGAATGAGCCAGGAGGAACCGCCGGCCATGCCGGGTATGCACTCGTCGCGGTTTGGGGAACAGGAGGAGGCGGCCGAAGAGCTGCCTGCCAGACGCACGGATCTGCCTACGACTCCTCCTCGACGGCGTCGGAACCGGAGCGGCCGCGGCCACTGAAACCATTGCGGGCTTTCGCTCCTGTGGTGCGCCGGGTCCGAGGTGTAAGCGCCTGGCAGAGAGCGGCCCCCGTGCGCCGCGGCGGTCGGCAGCCGCCTGCCGGCGAGGCCCTGGCAGGCCCGGAGCAGGGCCCGGGCCGCCCTCGCCTGCGCGCGACCCGCCTGGGCCTGGCGCTCCGCCGCCGTGAGTCGTGGGGGCGGCCCCGCAGCCGCGGGCCGAGGAGGAGGAGGAGGAGGAGGAGGAGGAGGAGGAGGAGGAGGAGGAGGAGGAGGAGGAGGAGGAGGAGGAGGAAGGGGAGGAGGAGGAGGAGGAGCAGGCCTCGGCTTGGCCGGCCGAGGGCGTTGG